CGTAGAATAATACAAGTCAATTTTGGTATTACAACAAATGATAAAAATCAAACTGAATATCTTGCTCGATATTCTTTCAATAAATCTGTTTGGCTATAATAATAATTAGAATTAATATTAAAATCTTTAGAACTTAGTTGAAAATAGGATAAGATAGGTTTTAATTCATATTGATAACGATCTGATTGAATAAAACGAAGAACTTTATCATTTCGAAAATCAGACCGACGAACAAGAGTCTAAAAATATAAATAATAAAAGAAAAAAAAAAGTAATTTAATTGATTTACTTGAAAATATCGAGCAAGATATTCAGTTTGATTTTTATCATTTGTTGTAATACCAAAATTGACTTGTATTATTCCACGTTTATTATCAATTTTCTCAATAGAAAATATTCGAACAAAATCATATTTACAATGAAGTAGATGAGCAATTGATTTACTAAAATCAATAATAAAATTTTTCATTGTTGAATTAGATTGTGCAAGATCTCGATCATAATTAAGATTTATTTTAATTGAAAATTTTGCTGTTGGTATTAAATTATTAGCAAGTAAATGAAGACTACCAAAATTAGCTATTCCACCTACTATATATTGAGCACTATTACAATGAGATATATCTTCACTTGTAAAACATATTTCTCCTCCATATTCACGTGAAAAATAATCAAGTAAAATAATAACAGTTTCGGTTGAATCTTTGCCAATTTGAAATGGTTCAGAACGAAAATCTTTTGATTTATTAATTATTGTTCTATATCGTGCTAAAATATTAATTAAATTTCTATCAGTAGCATCAATTGGATAAATAATATCTTTTAATCCTTTTTTCTTATCATCTAATTTAAATGATATTGGTGTCATTTTTAATATTGTTATATTATCTCCAATATCAATTTCATTTATTTTCATCATTTCAATATTAATAACAATTGAAACTGTTTTTGGTCTGTTACTTAAACCAGAATAGACTTGATAAATTTTATCATTTTTAATACCTTTAAGTTTAATAATTCGTGCTTCAATTTTATTAATTCTAGCGACAGTTTGTTTATTAATATCCGGATTACTATGAACATTTTCACAAGTCAAACTTTTTAATTTATTTTCAAGATTATTTATTCGTTTACGAAGTTTATAGACTATTTCTAAATCATCCATTATTTAATAATAAAACAAATCAAACACTATTGATTATCTAAAATAAATAAATATATTTTTTTATTTATCAATAATTATACAATATTAAAATTAAATATTCGTATTAATTAAACTTGTAACAAAACAAAAACAAAAACAATTTAAATAAATAAATTTCGAAACTCTATTCGTTACTCGTCTCTAACAAAAGTATGTAAACTAACAAAATATATAAAAGAATGTCAAAATGAAATTAATGTAACATCAGTCAATTTTTTATTTCATTATTCAAATATTTTTTTAAATATAGAACAACACAAAAAAGAAAGCAATTTGAAAGAACGATAATGTGATGATGCCCGCTGGCTGTAACAATTATTGATACAAGTTAAAAGCAACATTAAACATTTTTTTCGCATGTCTAATACATCTCATTCATATGTTGACAAAACAATGATAGAAAAAAAGAATTTCGTTTGTTTCATTCGAAATTATTCTTTTAATTATTCAGTAGATTGTTCAACCAAAAAATCTCTCGCATTATATATATATACTAATGCCCAAACAGTCAAATTGAAATTCTCAGTGATTGAAAGAATCACTTATGATAAATTCAAGTTATTTGTGCTTTATTCTATCATATTTTTATGAAAGAGATACAACACAAAGAGGAGAGGAGAGAGATAGGAAAATGAGTCAAGAAAGATTGATCAATGATAAACGAACAAATGGATTTATATATGTGTGTGAAAGAGAGAGAAAAAGAAGAACAAAAAGAAGAATATGATAATATAGAGAACGATTGCTCAGAGCGGTGAGTGGATGTGGATGTGAATGGGGATGCGAGGACCGAGAAAACTAACAACCAACATCCACATCCACACCCACTCTCCGTTTCATCATCAGAAATGCCTTTTCTTTATGTTTTTAATATACAATTGACGAAAGTCATAAAATTTCTTGATGTTTTTTTTTGACTTCCATGGGCATACAAATAACTATTTGAATAAAATATTGATATCGGCACGGCCAGCCATCGGTCCCCTTCGTTGGGGAAGGTTCGAAATCAGTAAGATTCAGAAAGAAAAATTTGTTATAGAGAGTGTGATCTTGCAATATTATTAAGTTTG